CATCCACGCCAGCCCCCGAAAACATAGGAAACCTGAGCGGACATCCAGCATCTCAAACTGCTGTTCAGAGAAGGTGCTCCTTCCATACACAGCATGCCAGTCACTACTGTTATGAACAAATTCACCATAAAAACAGCCCTCCGAACCAGCCCTCTAGGCAGCTCGCACAGGTTAGAGAGTTGGAATTCAATGGACCCTCCAATGCTGACTCGGGTCCCTGCCCAGAAAAGGCACCTCAGCCTGTGAAGAACTCTTCAGCAGGAAGTCCTATGACCTGCGCTAAGGACCTTTGCTCTGGTGGGCCCAGAATATCAACTGCTCCGAGGTTCTGCTACGGTCCTCAGAAAGGAAGATGCAGTTAGGCCCTGGTGGTGACAGTGGGGGTGGCTGGTGGTTGCTGGTGGTGTCCTGCGGTGGCTAGTGAGTGGTGTCCTGTGGTGTCTGGTGGTTAGACTCTGGATGTTGTGAAGATGAGACAGCAGGTTTTAGTTGGAGTAGATGGTGGATGTGAAGGAGAGCCGAGAGTCCAGGATGTCTCCTGCACAGCGGGCAGGACCTGAAACTATCGGCAGGGGAATTCAGGATGCCTGCTGGGATTTAAGGGGACTATGCCCACAGGGTGTTGGAGAGGTCATGGGAAGCCCAGAGAGAATCCCAAGTAAAGACAAAATCAGAACAGAACTTAACAGTGTAGATGTTTAAAACCGGGGCTGGGTGAGCTCCTGACTGGAAGAGACAGACAGAGCTGGACCACTCCAACACAAAGAGGAAGCAAGGGAGAGTCAGCCATGGAGCCCACAAAGGAGCCAGGGTCAGCAAACAACTGTTGTCAGAGAGGAAGGAAGGTAAACCATAGACCTGAGAAATCCTGTCAGCACGCCCTACTCCCTCATCCTGCCTGCCACAGGAGCTTCCAGCCAGCCGACGCTAACCCTCAGCAAAGCAGGCAGGGACGGACTCGAAAGGGCTCCTGTTTCAGCACATGGGAACGTGAAGCCGAGAGACGGCGATAAACTGTCATGCTCAAGTGATGGGGGGAGGGGGGAAGTCGGGGCCGTGGAGCGGGTCTCCAACCAAGAATTCTATGCTACTTCATTTCTGAATATTTTTTCAAAACGACCAAGAATTCTACAAAATCACCATGGAAACACGTCTCCTGTCATATCCGCCGGCACAGAAGACAGGCAGCGGGAGGCAGTTACAAAGCCTCCACAGATGGGCTAATTCTCTCCGCTAGTCTTAGCACAAATGGCAGTAGTCCTGACCGCATAAAAAAAAGGAATGCCCTGTACTTCTCAAATGCTCCCACACACGCTTCAAGGGATGCTCTGTTCGGCTGGGGCCCCTGAGCAAGCACTTCTTCCTGAGAAGCCCCACTACCTCTTGGGAATACCAGACTACCTCGACTCAGCCTCCCCTTACCCCTGCTGAATCTAGGGTATCATTTACTTCACACAAGCAAACAGCCAGTACAGCGTTGCTCTGTCAGAAGGCACATCTTATACAAGCCAGTAGGCACAGTCTTCCCTCTTCGCTATCCCGAATGATCCTTTAGGAAGCCAAAAGCTAAAGTGTATTTACCCCAGAGGGAGCCTGGACTCTTAACTTCCCAGTCTGGTCTCCAATGACAGACAGCCTTTGGCTCCAACACTATCAGCTCCGTCTATCATACCACAGTTACCTATGCTAGGAGCTCCCAAAACACACAGTGACGTCACCAACTCCCCATTCAGTGTCCCACTCCATGCTGGTTGTCCCTGTGCCAAGTGAGATGCCGTCTCTGCTAGCAAACTTCCTGGGCCCATTCCCACTTCCGTAGTGCTTGGTCTGGCTCCTAACTACTGTTTTTATTATGGCTTGTGATTTACTGAGTATTTCAACTTCCTCTCCTGCCTGTGAGTGCCTGGGGTCGGAAGCACTGCTCAATGCACCCCTGTATCCTGCACAGTGCTGCATGCTATATAAATACAGCCCTGGAGCAATGTGCAGAGAAGAAAGGCTATGTGGGAACTTACAGTGAGCCAAGAAGCATGCAAAACCAAGAGGCCTGGCCTCCAGAAATCCCTTTGACGACAGGCAATGACAAACTCCGAAGGAGCCCAGCTCCACTCCGATAGTGAAGGAGCCCGGAGCCTGAGTCTGGGTGTGGGACAAGAAGGGCCCAGGAGAGGTCACTTGCAGCAGGACACTGGGTTGCAAGCCAGAAGGGTCTGCCTCCAGAAGGGTGTTCAAGCCAAAACTGGCCTTGGGAATTGGGTAGTCGGGCTCTCACTCCCAGCTCCTCCCGTGGCTTCAGATGAAGGTATTTTCTCTGAACCTCACACTGTGTGAGCAGCTCGGGCAGACTGGCTTCACCGCTATGAGGAAGGTAAAAGAACAATGCTCACTCACACTGAGCTCTGGCTGCCCACACAGACCTCAGATGGACACAGCCAATGCCTAACTAACTCTTACACACTCCGCTGTATCCAGAAGGGCCAACATGGCTCAGGCCTTAAGCGCCCCCATCTCCATCACCGAGGACCTTTATTGGCATTTCACGGAGGGCTTGCTAAAACAACTGTTAACTTGGAGGTGCGTTGAGGCCATCTGCCCAAAGGCTTGCCTCAGAGAAGCTTCTTGGGCCTCAGCTTCCATATACCACCTACCTCTGTAGGAACACCTCACACCCTGGTCTCCACAGGACTGAGCTACAGTCAGTATCCATGGGCCACTGAGAAAGCGCTGCTATTACAGGACCTGAGGCCGCCTCTCAGGACCTCTGCCAATAAGTTGCAGGAGATGCAGGAGAAAGCAGAACTTTGGACACTGGAAAGTTGAGTCCGTGAGGAAAAGCATCATGTATATTAGCTGGTCTAGCCTCTCGACCTTACCTCTCTCAGAAGCTGCTGAGTTTGAGAATCATGGGTTATGAAGTATAGTTGGGTTGAGCCAAGATTTTCAGTGAAGATGACCCTGTCTAAAGTAGACCAGGTAGTCAAGATTACACATCTAAGAAAATACCCTTTTGGAGGCTGTGAATCTATGGGGAGCTCTGGCCTTAAGGCCTTGCTCTTAGGCTTCTGCAGCTCGGGTTCCCAACATAACCACCTTCTCTTCAAGTATACTTCTCAGAATTCTCCAGACTTCCAGATCTAGCTCCCTAGATGTCTTATCGTGCCCCCCCCCCCCAGTTCTGTTCTGGCACTCGGGGCTTAGGTCTCTGCTGGCAGGCATGCTCACCCTTCGGGCCTCACTTCCCCATACCCTGTGCCAGCCGTTGGTATATCCTGTGTACCTTGCAGCTGACTGTCAGCTCCAAGGAGGGCCCTCGCTCTTGCTGTGCTTAGGCCTTTTGTGTACCATCGCTCACTGAAGAAGCAGAGAACTCCTTCAGGGTGCCACCAGCCAAGGAAGAGTGGACATTTACCCGGCAGAAAACACAAAACCTGAAAATCACTAGCATGTGCTCAAACCCAGACATGCATGGGCCCACTGTACAGCATTACTCAGGACAGAGGGACAATGACTTCATTTTTAAGCATCCAAACAGGAAGTAGCACACACAGCCATTCAACTTAGCCAGCCTCCTTCCTAACATACTTAACTGTGCCACGGGGCTCTGAATACTTGCCTGCCCATAAACACCCAATGGTGCCTTCTGAAGGTTAAGGAGCAGAAAAGATATCAGCAATGCCACGCTTGGGCCAGGAGAACAGATGCTAAGCCCCCCAGCAACAGTAACCTGAAAGGCAAGGTCAACGTGAGTGCTGCAAGACAGACCAGAACCAAAGAGTCCCAGCTACCGTGTGGCAACTGGGTTCCAGGTCAAATCCATGTCAAGCTTTTTCACCTGAAAGCATGAGTAATGACGCTCCCTTGAGAGGCCTGGAAAGCTTAGGTGAGGTTAGCACCCATGTGCACATGGCCTGCAACATGGACTTCATCAACAGAGGATGGTGACATCAAGTAAAGCCGCATGGGATACAAGCTGTCTGGCAGATGAACGTGGGCTCTTCCGGGCCCTGCCAACAGCTGCAGTTTTAGGAAATCCAAAACAGGAAGTGCTGTATTTCCCCAGATAATCTCTACTCTATCCTTTTATTTTTAACCATGGATTCTGGTCTATTGCTTTTTAAAATGTTGCCTTATTTTCTTTTGCCTGCACACCACATGCATGCAGTGCCCACTGAGGCCAGAAGAGGCCACCAAACCAGAAGAGGGACTAGAGTTTCAGGTGGTTGTGAGCTGCCCTGTGGGTGCTGGGAATTGGATCTGGGTCCTCTGGAAAAGCAGTTGATGCCCTTAACCTCTGAGCCATCTCTCCATCCCTCATCTGCTGCTCTTCAGAAAACGTTTTTATAATTTTTGCCTGGAAGAAGTTGCAGCTGGTGTGATCTGGGCTCCCATGAACACGGGCAGTAACAAACTTAACAGCCCATGCAGAGACAGGAAGCCCTGGCTGGGCACTGGGTTTCACACACAGGTCTGTGTCCCTTGTTCTTCCCCTGCCTGTGGGAAGACAACTAGGTTGTATAAATCAACACAGCCAGCCCCAAGCTCCTAGCAACAGCAGCTGTGTCACCTGTGACGAAAATTAACCCTGAACAGGGACCACCTGAGAAGTCTGAGGGGCCACTCCTTTCACCAGCCAATGATCAGAGATTACTATTCCTCTACACTAATATTCCTTGGACTATTATTCCAGGGAAAACCCTAGCTGACACCATCCCACTGCCTTCTTCAAGGCTTCCAGGGCTGAGGGGCAGTGGAGCAGGAGGCAGAAGCCAGTGATGAGACAATGTGTCAGACCAAAAGCCCCAACACTCATGGCCTCCTTGAAGATCACTGCTGTGTGGACAGAGCAAGAATGAATTACGTAGACCATCCAGTAGTCCAGCAACAGTCACCCAGATCCCAACCTTCAGGGTGCTCGTAACAGTTTGGGGTGTCACAGCACAACTGGAGCTGCCAGCTTTGGGGGTACACTGTGCTGGGGAAGGGGAGAAGCAACACAGCAGTCAGTGTTGATAATGTCATGTTTATTACTCTGCTCTGTGTTCCATAGAGAAATGCTGCAGCAGTCCTGCAAACACCCCCACCACCGACAAACCATCCGAGGCTGAAATCTCCATAGAGATGACAGGGCAGGTCTCGGCCAGCAGTTCCCACCTCCTGCAGCAAAATGGTTGTGGGCTAAAGCATCCTAGACTATAAGCAATCAGCATCCATAGTGCACTTAGAATTAAATAGAAGGCCAAAAATTCACTTCTTTCTCTTCTTTGTTGAATATAGTTTTTCTTCAAGTGGGACTGGGACTATGCCGTCACACTCTTTTACTTCCTGGGTCAGAGGGTGTTTCACAATATTTGGTCTAATCACGTCAATGTCTCGTGCCAAGTGTTCCAATATGCTTTCCACAACATTTGTTGGGGCATAAAAATCCACCAAGAAATACCTGCAACAAGACAGAAAAGGGTGAATTCCTGTATCTGAAGGATAACACACCTGCTCTGCTGAGTGGTGTGACCTTTACTCTCCCACAGAGATCACTACTCACACGCTCACGCTCAGCTGTAGCACACCCAGTGTCCTTCCAGACTGTACCTATCATTATGTCCCTGTAAACTTAGTTGGAAGCACCTTCACAGCAGCAAGACTGCTGTGACATCAGGCACAGCAGGAAGTCACACAGAATAGCTCTAAGATTGTGTATGGAGAATTTTCTACCCTGTAATAGCTGTTTCTTTTGTAACGGCCGGTTCTGTTATTTTGTAAACGCCGGCAGGTTCTGTTGTTTTGGTCTGTAGGTCAGGGTCTAGCAAGAGAGAGAGTCGGGACAGAGGAAGGGCGAAAAAGGGGCGAGAGACGCAAAAGATAGATACAAGACAGAGTCTGGTCGAATCTCTTCAAGTCTCTTCTTTATTCTCCTTCAAGTCTCTTCTTTATTCTCCTCTCTTCTTCTATATTCTCCTCACACACATGCTATATTCTCCTCACTCACATAGAAAGGAAATCCTTGGTATTTATACCCTTTACCACGTGACTTGCCCTCATGGACAAGCTCAACTGAAGACACTAAGTCACGTGTCTTGTAGCCATGGATACCAGGTGCACCTTCAGCTGGGGGCACTAAACAGTGTAACAAGATGTTTATCAGAGTGTGCTCAGCCATTGTAGGCTGTTGAAAACAAGTCTCTTGTCAGGGTATATGGCTCGAGATGGCTGTAAAGATGATAACCACTTTTGGCTAAGAGTCGGCTCCCAACCCTACCCTATCAACAAAAATGGATTTTATATCATGTATGGATTCTTCTTGCAGAAGCATTTATTAGATAGTCTTCTAATTTCCCATGGACTTGACCAGTGACTCAACACACCTAAGAGAATCAGTCAGCCCCTTTCCACAGAAAGGAAAAGGACAAAAGGAAGAGACCCACCTAGAGCTCACCTGTAGGAACAAGAACTGACAGTCAGTGTAGCATTAATTATTCATATCAGCCTGATACCAAAGGCTATGACAGACAGTGTGCATCAAACCCATTATCAACACCCTGCTGGACACTGTCACAAGACTGTCTGCTGCACACCCCTGCTGTCACACTCAAAAGCAGCCAAGTGTAGCAGTGCACACCAGCATTCAAGATGCAAAGGTAGGGGCATCACTTCAAGTCAAAGGCAGCTGGCCACTCCAGTGACTTACATAGCCAGCTATGGCTATGTAGAAAGATCCTATCTCAGAAACCCAGAGGGCAGCCCAGAGGTTAGGCCTCCGTCACGCTGCTTGAACTGTGAGCAGGGCACTCCCAGGCCTGGCCATGGTCTAGCTGGCTGACATCTTCTTTCTAGCCTGCGCTCTCCCAACTCTCCAAGTGCAGTCCCACCAATGTCCCCTCAGTGCTCACCCCTACCTCTCAGTCTGTGGTCTTAGAGGCCCCTGAGCACCTCCTGCAGAGCAGCCTCACCCCACAGCCATGCTTCTGCCATCTCCCTCACCGTCCTGCTCTGACTGCACTGCTTCACCACTAGCACGGTGGACATCTGCTTACCATCCACCTTGCTCCTCCCTGGTGGCTAGCCTCTGCTACACAGTGCAGGAAGGCACTTTCTATATGGCTGTTATGTGTATACAGGCTTATGCACCTGTAAACAACCAGATGAAACTCACTGTCACCAGCCAACAGACAAACAGAACAGACATGAACGCTGAGAGGGGAGAGCAGTGAAGAAAAGAAACAAGCAGGAGATGGAGGTGGATATGAGGGGTGAGGGGAGGTGACTTGGAACACATTATGTGTATATATGAAAACATCACATTGAAACCCATAATCAGGTGTAATTAATGCATGATAAAGCATTTTAGAACACACTTAAATAGTGGATCTGTGCATCAAAGAATCAAAGGAGAAAAGACAAAGTACTTTAAATTGAGTAAAATTGAAGACTGAAAGCCACTAAAAACAGTGCACAGTCACAGCATGGACCACTTTCTATATGGCTGTTATGTGTATACAGGCTTGAAAGAACTGTAAGAATAGTAATGCAAGAACAGTCAAGTTTCAAACTGCTGTCAGCGTCTATCTTAGAAAATGGAAAAGGAACAAATTAAATCCGGTCTGAGCTAAGTAAAGTGGATGAGAAGACGCTTCTAAAACAAAAAGGTAAAATAGAACATGAATGAGATCAAATGCTAATTTATTGTATCACTAAAATCAGCATGCCCCTCAGTAGGCAGTGCAATAGGACACACCAATACTAAGAACAACAAAGGTGAGATGACTGCAGATTCTGTGAATATAAGGACATTGGGGACATTGTGGATAACCTGTAATGAATGTGACATCTCAGGTAAGAGTCAAATTCCTCGAAAAAAAAAAAACTATCAAAGTTCATTCTAGAAAAAGTAGATCCCTGTCATAGTCCTGTATCCATGAAGAGTTAACCCTGTGGCTACACACATCCCCACAAAGAGACTAGAAGCACTCACTGGTGAACTATACTAAATGTGGGAGGAAAAGCACCAACTCTAACAGAAACTCAGGACAAGTGGGAAAACACATCTCAACTTGCTTATGAGGCTAATATCACCTTATAACAAAACCAAACACAAATACCACAGGGGACAAAACAGGAAGATGAAAAATCCCAACAACAATCCACAAACTGACCACAGTGATATGTAAGGACAATGTTACCACATCCAAGTACAGTGTATCCCAAGAATGCAACCCTAGATTCATATTAGAAAACAACCAGCCAATAGGACTCACTACATTGATGAGCAAGGAGAAAATTATGATAACTTTAGTAACCATGTAAGTAAAGAAGTTGCCGGGCGGTGGTGGCACACGCCTTTAATCCCAGCACTTGGGAGGCAGAGGCAGGCAGATTTCTGAGTTCGAGAGTTCGAGGCTAGCCTGGTCTACAGAGTGAGTTCCAGGACAGCCAGGGCTACACAGAGAAACCCTGTCTCGAAAAAAAAAAAAAAATAAGTAAAGAAGTTAACAAAATCTCGTGGCAATTCCTGAGAAAAAGTTCCAAGAAACTATGCATAGAGAGGACTTTCCAAAAATCCTACAACTAGCATTTCACCAAGTCTGGATAGCCCCACCCCAGACAAAGAACAAAGATGTCCCTCTTGAACACTGTACTGGAGATGCTTGACAGAGCAAAGGGCAAGAAAAGGCAACAGGAAGCATCAGATCGATACTCCTGCCTCAACCTCCTTAGTAAACACTGTATCTAGGGGCCTTAAATCAATGTCTCCTTTTTTGCCTTTAACACCTGTGCCCCTGCTTCAACCTTCTTGAACATTACCCATGTTATAGACATTTACTATGACATCTATATTCCCAATGCAAAGTTTTCTTATTCTAAATAAAGATTGTAACAGAGAACCTTTCTGTTATTTAGACTGACAATGGGTAAGACTTTTTCAATAATTTAGATGTCCATTCTCTTCAACGTGACTTACAGTTTCAACAACAACTCAAATAAAAGACCAACAAACTTTATTTTCAAGTTCAAATAGAAATACCAAGAATGTATAACAGCCAAATACCTTTGATAGAGAATAGAGCTGAACAAACATCACCTCTTCTCAAGACTTAAAAAGCAACAGTGATGCACACAGTGTGACCACACAGACCCATGCAGGCAGTGTCTTTTCCACACCTGCGTCCTTAGTGCTTGAAAAGGTACACTTTGTTCCTCCTTGTCTACCATACAGGAAAAATAACTCAAAAAATAGAACAGATGAAACAAAACATTAAATTTCTAAAAAAAAGAAAGCAAGCCTTCTGCCTTGGGATTAAGCCGAGATCCACCAGACAGCACAAAAGTACAATTAATAACAGGGAGACATCAAAGGAGACCAACACTAAAGACAGTTCTGTAAGTAAAAAGACAAGCTGGAGTCAGGAATTGCTAGTCATATCTCTAGTAAAATACCTGACTCTAGCATACAAAGAACTCTCAAAATTTAATTAAAAAAAAAAACCCAAAGTAATTTAAAACAAAAATAAGCCTCAATTTGAAAAGTTGTAAATGGGACAGACTAAAGGTAGACTTTGATAAAATACAAGAAAAGGTGCTTAAAGTCAAGCAGTAAGATACAACTTAAAACCAGAGAATTGGCCCTCAAAGCTCACCCACAGTCAGGCCCTCCCTAAACGTTCCCACAGCACCAACTTGACACTTGGTATTCAAATACAGGAGCCTCTGTGGGACATTTCTCATTCAGGACAGCACAGCACTTGAATGGCTTCTTGGGGCTGTAATGTCTTTACTCACTGAGTAGGTAACTGCTTGTGATGGCTATGGGGGCTAAGCACCAACCTCCCCACACTCTCCAAGGCTTAATTCCATTTATTTTGACCCAACACATACACACAAACTAAAGGATTGTAATCACTCAATTTACAAACTGCTCATTTGTTCTACCCCAAATCATGATTACTAACCTTAAGTAAGGTTAGGAAGCAGAGTCTAGAACGTTCAGTGGGAACTATCTCAAATCATCTCCTCCATGCTAACGGCCAGTATCTTTTACTTCTTCATTTCATTTCGGCTACTTGGTGGCAGGTGGAATGCTTTAATCCCCAACATTTCTTTCTTCCTATTTCCATTCGTTCTTTTACTCAGTATTTATCAAAATATTCTTCCAAACCACATTCCTGCTACACAGGGTTGACAGCAGTGTCTTCTGAACATACCCACTCTCTCTGAGAGGCCTTGGTTTGCTTGTTTGTTTACTTTGCTTTGTGTCTCTTGCTTTTGTCCATGCACACACAGCCTTGTGCTGATGGGGGACCAGGAGGGACTGATTCTGTCCCGACATCCTGGCCAGTAATGCATCAGCACTACTGACAGCCCTATGACACCCCAAGCCTCCCTCGCTAAGTTCTAAGTTCTACTCTTCCTACATCCAGAGTCAACTTATTAAACACCAGTTCTGAG